ACAGTAGCGAGACTGGTGTCCAAATCCGAGACATTTGAAGCACCGAGGTACTCTTGCCACTAATCGAATGCGACAATTCACCCATCCGATCTTGATGCGGGCCTTTTCGAGGGCCTTCATAGCACTAGCCTCATCGATCTCGCAGAAGGCTGCCCGTTGACCTCTAGGGGTAACCTTGAGGTTTTCTTTGTAATCTCTCGTTAATGCTTCCCGGATTTCGGCTTCGGTAGACACTCCGTCCAGATCAAGTATTTCGATGGTGATCATCGGCGTTAATCGCTTGACCGTTCCACAGCCGCCTACCGCCGTTTTAATTGCTTCCGTGAAAGCTGTGTCATCATTGGTCTTTTTGCTAATCTCTAGCAATACTCCGCCCTTCTTTGTTTGGCGTATGGACTTAATGTTCGCTCCGCTTTCTTCGGGGTTTACCTTGCCTTTTATGTTCTTTAGCAAGTCAGCGTAGGTTTGTCCAGCCGAAGGCTTTATGAGGATTGCCTTGGTCAGAACTTTTTTCCGCCTTGTTTTCTGAAGCACTTTCACGGGACCATCCTTACGCCCGTTGCCTTCTTGACTCGCTTTAGCCGTTCGTTTTTGCGCACCGTTCTCGCGCGGTTCTGGAGCCTTCTTCTTTTTCCGGTCAACTAATTTCCAATCGCCCTCTTGCGTGGGCTTTTTGGTTTGACGTTCAGTGGATAAGATCGGGCTTGGCGAAGATAATTGCCTTTTTTTGGGATTTTTTACCACTTTGCTTGGTATGGGTGTGCACGGCGGCGCAGTTGTCGCCATCCCTGGTGTGTTTGAGTCGTCGTCGCAACTCGATTCATTGGTTTTTCGAGCGTGGTAGAGAGATCACTCAGTGCCAGGTTGTACGCCGTACTGATTGAACCTGCTAGACGTCTATGTCTATGTCTATGTCTATGTCTATGTCTATGTCTATGTCTATGACTATGTCTATGTCTATGTCTATGTCTATGTCTATGTCTTTGTCTATGTCTATGTCTATGTCTATGTCTATGTCTATGTCTATGTCTATGTCTATGCCTATGTCTTTTTTTTTTTTTTTTTTTTATAGAGGTGCGAAAAAAAAATCTTCATAAGACACCGCCATCGTTGATACTCCGCTATCCATCCTACAGCAGACAACGACGGACGGCAGTGTGGAGATTTTTACCCACTAAAAAAAAAACACTCCTCTCCCCTCTCCCCGCAGATGGTACGGAGAGGACCGGATTGGAACCGCGTTAGCATTACATCAATCCAGTCCGTGCTGCGCCTTGCGACGCCTGCTTCCGACTACTGGTCCTTTTCTATGATTTTATCCTTCAGAAGATGCTGTGCATAAGCTGCTACAGCTGACCAGTTTTCTTCTTGTTTCATCATATAGGTCACAAGACTTGAGGGGGTGAGCCTGGTGCCTATAATGTGCTCAGCATTGTTGCGATAGTCCTTCCACCGAGCACATTCAAAGAACGTGTGCTCAGCGTCGTCGATTTTTTCTGGACAGTATTTGCACATTGGCGTGCTATGCAGGCCCATCTTAAAAAGATACGCATTAAACTGTCCATGTTCTGTCAGTAGCTGGGTCAGAAAGAAATCTGTGTCGCCGTATTGTCGAGAGAGCCAGGCGCTAATGTTCGGGATCAGGCGCGCCGTCCATCTGCCCGTCTCTCCTGACGTCCACCGATTTTGCCACTTTTGTAACGTTTCATTTTTAATTCTCGACCTTGTTTCTGTGGAATTTCCGCACCTAATTTAGCGTCGTAGAGTTTTACTCTCTCGATAGCTAGCAAGTCAATCGGTGTGGCTCCTGTATTACCAGTACGGCTGCTTCTGAGACCGTGCGATAGGCACAGGTAACTCTCAGAGCTCCTCGTCTTTGCACTGCCGCTATTTTGCGCCGATAAGTCTTTTGCTGGAGGATATCCGCCCATATTTCCGCTCCGTATAGCAATACAGAATGGACTACCTCAAGCAAGACTCGTCGCTTTCGGGTTCGTGGTCCCATGCAGTTAGCCATGTTCCATGACTATGTCTATGTCTATGTCTATGTCTATGTCTATGTCTATGTCTATGTCTATGTCTATGTCTATGTCTATGTCTATGTCTTTTTTTTTTTAATATAGAGAAAAACCTCCTCTCCTCATTTCTCCGCATATGATCACGGGGAAGACTGGGTCGGAACCGCGTTAGCATTACTTCAACCCAGTCCGTGTTGCGTCACGTGACGTTAGCTCCTAAGTTTATTGGTCCCTCTCGGCGATTTTTGCTGTCAAGAGGCGCCGTGCATAAGCTGCTACCTCGTCCTAGTTTTCCTTGCTTTGCAGCATGGTATTTACAATGTTCTGGGAATTAAGGGCCCTTCCCAGGGACAATTCGGTGTCAGCCCTGAAGTTCTTCCAGCGCGTGCACTTAAAAAAGGTGTGCTCAGCATCGTCGGCTTTTTCCGGACAGTATTTGCACGTCGGTGATGTGTGCAAACCGAACCTGAAGAGATATGCATTGAACGAGCCATGACCCGTCATCATCTGAGTTAGAAAGAAGTCTATTTCGCCATGTTTCCTGGCGAGCCAGGCCTATTAGGGATCAGACGTGCTGTCCATCTACCACGATCAGACGCCTGCCACCTTACTTTCCATTCCTTCAGGGTGTTCTTTCTCACCATTGCCCTCGCTTAGCTGGCATTGAGGCCTCCTTTTTTGAGGTTATACAACCTGGCCCTTTCGATCGCCAAAAGGTCTATAGGCGGAGCTCCAGCTATAACAAGCACTGCGTCTTCGGAAACTGTGCGATAGGCACAAACCACTCTAAGTGCTCCTCGCCGCTGTACTGCTGCCAGTTTCTTACGATACGTCTTCTGTTGTAATGTATGCGCCCAGATTTCCGCTCCGTAAAGCAGGACTGAGTGAACCACCTCCAGGAGAGCTCTCCTCTTTTTGGCACGTGGGCCGATAGTATTGGCCATGATTCTCGATAGACTAGATACAGTCTTGCTAGCCCTTGTACACGTGCGTTCCAAGTGTTCACGGAATGTCAGCTTTGCATCTAACTGAACGCCCAAATAGCGGACTGACTTTGTAGACGTCAGTGTTAGTCCGTCGATGATTGTACTAAACGGTTCTGGGAACCATTTTTGGCGTGTTAGGACTAGTGTTAGAAGTATCGAGGCAAAAGATCGATATTGAGTACTTTAAAAAGTATCTAATCAAAATATCGATGCCAAAAAAATTTCATGGCGAAAGTATCGATAGTACTCAATATCGAATTTTGAATACTCTTCATAAAAATCAAACATAAGTGCAACAAAGATCGAAAACTCATTAAATATCATATCACAATATTAGAATGAATTCTATTGCTTGTATCTGATGTGTTAAATCAGAATCAATTTCAATATTGTAAAATTTTAACTGTAATTTTCCAATACTAATTTCAAATTCTATAATTTTTCCACAAAAAAGACAAGTTATAATAGTTGAGTATTTCTGATTAAAACAATATAATAGTCTGATACTATATTCAAAAAACAATACTTTTTAAGTATTTTTGAGTACAATAATATTTTTAATACTTTTAAGTAAAATAATATTTTATAATTGTTAAATATTTTTATATGAATAATTTTAGCGAGCATTCAACTTTAAAAATCCGTTACATGTTTACATAAAAGTGCAATATAAACCTCTTTGGAAAGCAATAAACATTCAGTTTAATGACGGTCAAGATAATATTTCGACACTTGTAGAAAAACATCCCTTCGGAGCGATGGGATTTAAAGTTTAAATTTAAAGTTTGTGTATGTTCTACAAGAAACTCAATTATTTGAAATAATCATACTTTGATTGTTGAATATGTTATTATAAAACATTTAAAATACTTTAAAAATCATCTTTATGTGTGGTCATATCCATCTTGGGTTTTAGAGCAATAAATTCTGAGACTAATGACCCTTCGGGATCATTTTTTGACACTTCTTTGAACAATTATGACCACCTAGAGAGACTATTGCTTTGCGTTTGGCAATGAGTGGTGTTAATAGTTGGTCGATGAGTGGTGTTAATAGTTGGTCGATGAGTGGTGTTCATAGATTACGCTGTCGATTCTTTTTGAGTACTATCGACGTAAAGAATCGATATTGGCAAATAGATCGAGCTAAAAAATCGATAGCAAAAGTACTCACTATCGACCGCAAAATATCGATATTTACTCAGTACTCGATATTTCGTTCTAACACTAGTTAGGACTACCATCTCCGTTTTCTCTTTGGCTAGCTTCAGATGGTGCTGGTCCAACCAGGCCGCGACGGCTTCGATGGTGAAATCGACCAGTACCTCGGCCTCTTCAACGCTGTCTGCCACAATAGTAGCTGCGACATCATCCGCAAACCCTGTGAGATGCACCTGCGGGGGTAAGGGAATTTCGAACAGCTCGTCATAGTCAGCGTTCCACAGATCAGGTCCCATAACCGAACCCTGTGGTGCACCAGCTGTTATCTTGCGGCTCACTGTTCCCTCAGTGGTTTCAACGATGAGTACTCGATCGTCCAGGTAGCTGTCTACCATTGTCAAGATGTCATCTTTCACCCGGAATCTCTTCTCCAGCGCCTCCAGTATATCCTTCCACGATGCGCTGTTGAAAGCATTCTTCACGTCCAACGTGAGAAGTATACAAACTTTCCTAGACTTTAGGCTGCCAGCCCACGACTTTGTTGCGGTTTCTACAACTTCTTTGATTGCATCGATGGTTGATCGCCCTTTCCGGAAGCCGTACTGGCTTGAGGAGAAACCTCCGGAGGATTCAACATCTTTTCGAAGTCTGGCTTTGATAAGTTTTTCAAGCAGCTTCGCAGTTATATCCAGCATACACAGTGGTCTGTATGATGAAGCTGTTATCGGAGGTCCCTTTCCTCTGTCGAGAAGGACGAGTCTTTGTCGTTTCCAGACAGAAGGGAACGTTCCGGTCACAAGGCATGCATTGTAAGCATTCAACAGGATGTAAGGAAATTACTGTGCAATGAGCTTAATCACTTGTGTTGGAATACCGTCAGGGCCGGGTGCTTTCCCTAGTTTCAGGGTTTTTGCTGCGGTTTGCAGTTCCGAAACAGTGAACTGCAACACATTGGTGGTGTTCTTGTAGCGACTCTTCTTCCGCGCTGGGTGGTTTGGGAAGAGCTCAGTAACAATCTGGTTCATCATAGCCGGGCTTTTTGGCGGCTCTCGTAAGGTTCTACCCAATCCTTTTGCGACTATATGGTAGGCTTTGCCCCAGACATCGTTATTGAGGTCGTTGCAAATTTCTGCCCACAGCTTGCCTTTACTGGACTTGATGGCTCTATTGAGCTCCTTCTTGGCCGCCTTGTACTCATTGGAGTAGTAGGTCTGAGCTGGGGAGTGCTTAGCAGCTCTTGTTGCTCGTCGTCGGAGTTGGTGACATTTTTTTCTCAGCTCTGCGATTTCGCATGTCCACCAATATGCTGGCCGGCGCAAGTCCTGTGTTTTACGACGTGGCATAGAAGCATTGCATGCTGCGGTTATAATCTTCATCGTTTTTGTTACAATGTTTTCCGTCTCGCTGCTGTTAGTTGGGAACGGATGTGATTCGAGTGTCACCCACCCCCGCGTGAGGGATTTTCGTAGAGCATCAATGTCCGACTTCCTGGTATTCCAGCTGCATCTTTCGTAATCTCGGTGTACGTGGTGGGTAGTCTCTTCTATCCAGTAGATGATGGATTGATGATCACTTCCAGTGTATTCCTCGGAGACCTTCCAGTCCTGGATTCTGCTGGCAATTTTTGGAGTCGCCAGAGTAATATCGAGAATTGACTCGCGATAACCAGGTCTTCTAAATGTCGACGTCACTCCAATATTCAGGACTGTAAGATCGAGCCTCGCTGCCATGTCCGTAACTTCGTTTCCTTTGGTGTCTGAGAAATCTGCGCCCCATTCCACAGACTTAGCATTGAAGTCTCCAGCTATTAAGACTTCGCCATTAAATCCACAGATGGTGTTCTCGATGCTGGTCAGCTTCTGGCGGAACACGCTGATTCCTTCGTTGGGAGATAAATATACGCTCATGATATACATTTCAGGGGTTTTTATCCAGACATAATCATCCCCAGATCCGGTATCTACGGGAATAATCTTCCGAGTCACTAACCAGATAGCTGCTGTACTCGTCTTATCCACGTACCATGATTTAACAAGGGCGCTCTGGTATTGTTCGCTGATTATGCAGACGTCAATTTTGTCCTCAGCTACGCGCTGGTAAAGTAGGTTCTGCGCAAGCGAACATCTATTCAAGTTTCCTTGAAGTATTCGTGTCATTTCTGCGCTTTCGTCGCTTCCGCTAGGGCGGCTCTGTATACATTACATGCACCCGAACCGGAGATATGGCACACGCTATCTTTGTCTTTGAAAGCATTTTGGTTGTTTCGTGCAGTCTGCTGATTTGTGGTTCTCGCCACCGCACTTATAGCAGCGTTTGCTCCGATCTGGTCCTTTACAGTAGCGAGACTGGTGTCCAAATCCGAGACATTTGAAGCACCGAGGTACTTTTGCCACTAATCAAATGCGACAATTCACCCATCCGATCTTGATGCGGGCCTGTTCGAGGGCCTTCATAGCACTAGCCTCATCGATCTCGCAGAAGGCTGCCCGTTGACCACTAGGGGTAACCTTAGTTAGGTTCACGCGCCTTATCTCAAGGTTTTCTTTGTAATCTCTCGTTAATGCTCCCCGGATTTCGGCTTCGGTAGACACTCCGTCCAGGTCAAGTATTTCGATGGTGGTCATCGGCGTCAATCGCTTGACCGTTCCACAGCCGCCTACCGCCGTTTTAATTGCTTCCGTGAAAGCTATGTCATCATTGGTCTTTTTGCTAATCTCTAGCAATACTCCGCCCTCCTTTGTTTGCCGTATGGACTTAATGTTCGCTCCGCTTTCTTCGGGGTTTACCTTGCCTTTTATGTTCTTTAGCAAGTCAGCGTAGGTTTGTCCAGCCGAAGGCTTTATGAGGATTGCCTTGGTCCGAGCTTTTTTCCGCCTTGTTTTCTGAAGCACTTTCACGGGGCCATCCTTACGCCCGTTGCCTTCTTGACTCGCTTTAGCCGTTCGTTTTTGCGCACCGTTCTCGCGCGGTTCTGGAGCCTTCTTCTTTTTCCGGTCAACTAATTTCCATTCGCCCTCTTGTGTGGGCTTTTTGGTTTGACGTTCAGTGGATAAGATCGGGCTTGGCGAAGATAATTGCCTTTTTTTGGGATCTTTTAGCACTTTGCTTGGTATGGGTGTGCACGGCGGCGCAGTTGTCGCCATCCCTGGTGATGTTTGAGTCGTCGTCGCAACTCGTTCCATTGGTTTTTCGAGCGTGGTAGAGAGATCACTCAGTGTCAGGTTGTACGCCGTACTGATTGAACCTGCTAGACGTCTTATGTCACCGTGGACATTTGTCTTCTTTTGGATGAAATCCAGCAGTTCATGAATCTTTTCACCCAAGCGTTCAACGGGA